GATGTATCTAGATGTTTTTTCTCTGGATTTGCTGGTGCTCTCAGCAGGTTTGGCTTCTCCCAGGTTCCCAGCTTATGTTTTTTCTGTCCAAAGTAGATATGTTCTTCTTAAGGCTTATCTTCTTTCTAGATGTATCTAGATGTTTTTTTCTCTGGGTTTGCTGGTGCTCTCAGCAGTTTTGGCTTCTCCCAGGTTCCCAGCTTACATTTTCTGTCTAACGTATATAGGTATGTCCGTCTTACGGCTTATCTTGTTTCTAGATTTGTTTCTCTAGATTTGCTGGTGCTCTCAGCAGTTTTGTCTTCTCCCAGGTTCCCAGCTTACATTTTCTGTCCAAAGTAGATATGTCCTTCTTAAGGCTCATCTTCTTTCTAGATGTATCTAGATTTGTTTCTCTGGATTTGCTGGTGCTCTCAGCAGTTTTGGCTTCTCCCAGGTTCCCAGCTTACATTTTCTGTCTAAAGTATATAGGTATGTCCTTCTTAAGGCTTATCTTTTTTCTAGATGTTTTTTATTTGGATTTGCTGGTGCTCTCACCAGTTTTGGCTTCTCCTACGTTCCCAGCTTATTATTTTTTGTCCAAAGTAGATTTGTCCTTCTTAAGGCATATCTTCTTTCTAGATGTATATACATGTTTTTTCTCTAAATTGTCCAAAGGGAAAGAGCCTTCAACAATTAATGTTACATTTTTAGTATATGGGCTCAAAAACCGGAAAAATGTAACTTAGCTAATATTGGCTGAAAGTGGTGGGGGGAGGGGGTCTACAGGAGTTAGATTTCGTGCTTATGTTCAATAAAAAAATGTAAGCTAGGGGGTCAAAAATGTAACATTACATTTTTGACGTCTCAAACAAAAATGTTATATTACATTTCTGACCCTCAAATCTAGGGAAAATGTAAGTTACATTTAGGGTCCTCCCCCCTCAATAATTTGTAGCGATGATTGAATCATCCATTACGGGCCTGGTTGTTTTGAATTCGATTGCACCAACAATGCCCCAAGTTGCTTTGGATGGAAGATGTCCTCCACCGCCACCAAAAGCCTGCAACAACTTGTACGGATGTCTATCTCACAGTCTCCCTGCATGATGGTTCATGTTTTTCTTCTTTCCGGGTACATACAGACAGCCGACACTACTCCATAAGCTTTCCCGCTTTCCTTTAACTCTCAAGAAACGCTTTCCCAAACGCGATGCCTGGATAGAAACCTCCACCACGAAGTCTCCCGAAGTCTTCACGCATGCCGGTTCTATGTTGCAACGGCGGCAGGCAACCGACCATATATGTCACCGTTCTAGAACGGTGCACATGTTAAAAAAGGTGTCCAACGTGGAATGTTGCTTCACATGGTGAATGATTGAATCTCTTAAAATACCGTGCGAACTTGTAGATTATCTATCCCTACAGGGATCCGCATACCTTCTCAGAAGGTACTTGGACCCTCCGAGCCTACACAAATAGTCTCTCATCAGCTTTTCAGAGGGTATATGGATCCATTATATAAAACACTACATATACACACTAGATATATCCTTCCTTGGTGCCAAAGCCTACAACATGCACATCCACATACCACTGTCCGATGTGTTGGTTTGCAGGAGACAATGTCGGCATGGTGCGCGAGGCGCGCGACCGCGCGACTGACCCGACTGGGGAACCACTGCCCGGGACACAAGGGGAGTTGTACTGAATTGGAGGTCCATTAAGGGAGAAGAGAGAGAGAGAGAGTGAATGGAGTACAAATGGAGGTGAATTCAGAATGGATCTTTGTGTTTTCCGTTTGTGATCTCACACACGGAAGGAGGTTTTCAGGGGTTCTACTCCGGGGCTGATGCGCACTTTGATCATGTTGATACAAAGTCATGTGTACTTGTTTGGTTTAGATGGTTTGGGGGTTGGGGGGGTTGGAGGTCTGAGTTTGGTTTAGGGGAGCTTTGATACTGTGTTTTTGGGGGGTTAGCACAACTTAGGACCAGCAAACAACCATGCATGAGATTGTTTTCCACAAGATGACCCTCATGTTTGAGTCGATGGGCCAATGCTGGTGCCAATGCTTCGTTTCATGGGACGTGATAGAGAAGTCGGATGTGATTGCGCAGCCGTGTTGGTGGCCTGAAGCGGCAGGAAAGTTGCTCCAACCTCTTCGATGACCTGATTCAAACAGAGGATACGCAGCCGCTTCGGTGTGGTGAAAAGAGCACGTGTTTCTATTTTTGTATGTTTCATTGGACGATGAGGTCAGGAATGCAGATAGAGGACGAGACAGCTCCACAAGAATGACTGCAAAGGTGTTGGATGGTGTTGAACTGTGGCCTTCCAGCAAAGTACCTTAAATTGTTTGGAGGGAAAAAGGTAGTATCATGAATAAGGGCGTCATAGAAACCAGTTACCTGAGAATCTGATGCGATCCAGGATTGTTGTTGTATACTTTCTACCAGTATCATAGACGGAGGTGCCTCATGGTTGGCTGCCACGAGTTTGATAAGAACATATTTTTACATTTGAGAACATAGTCCAGATCCCACTTCCCACACATGAGAATCAGCCTGAACGTGAAAACGTCTCCGGTCGCGGTCCATGCCGCGTCACTCGCCGCGTCATCTGAGGCCCGACAAATCGGAGTTTGAGGACAAGCCCTTTGGCCGTTCACAGCATCGGACGGAGACGTGGCTGTGGCCCACTGCCGTACGTGGCTGCGGGGTTTCCGCAAAACCCCCGGTGTCCGGTGCCTTTGGTATTGAAGATAGGATGACTAGACTCCAGATAAGATCAGGTTGACATACCGAACTCACAATGTCTCCCTTTCAGGTTTTAAGGGTTTCTCTGTGTCTTCTTTGGTGATGTATTTGGATTCCTAGAAATGTAAGTTTAAAATGTAAACAAATCAAAAGCGATTGATATGTGATCCTTCGAGACCTAAACTTTGGACACTCTTTGCAGTTAGTTATGTACTACTAAACACTTGCAAGGTTCTTTGATTCTGGGTGTCCACTGCTTTGTTTGTAATCTTGACATGCAGTTTGAGGTTGATGCAGTTCAAGCTTTGAAGAAGTTTGTACAGCAGAACATGTTGTTGTGTTCTTTGCAACTGTCAAGATCTATAGGGCTCGTTTGTTCCCAATGTTTGAACGGTAGGCTTCGATAACTCAAACGGACGTCCCAAGGGCCGATCCCCGCACGTAAATGAGGTATGCGCTGGTGGGCAATGGTCCCTTGGGCGAGGGAACCTTTGGATTGGTCTGGAGGCCAGCCATCGGACCCGCGATGAGCAGCGGCGTTAGAGGCGTGAGCATTTGTGCTCCTGGGTGGACTTCTGGAGGTTCATCCTGAGAAATTTACGCCCAGGTCGACCCCCTGGCACCCTGGAAGAAGGGAAATAAACAAGTGTACCCATTGGGCCAGGGGTCTCCCTATTGAAGTACACAGCCACATGTGCACAGATGACCTACAATGCCACATGTGGATTTGTCCCATCCTTTTTTTAATTTGACGTTCACACTACATTGATGGCCAAGGATCGCTCCCATTCGGACCCGTTTTGAATTGGCCGAATCATTGATGCCAACATCATCCTTCTGGAAAACTACCGGTGACGAGACGTCCAGCCTCCAGGTGCACGCCCAAGGGGAAGTTGAAGGAAGTCCGAGAAGACAAGGACTGGGCTTTATGACTTATGAGGAATTATGAATCCTTTGCTTCCTTTTAGGTCAACTCTTCAAGGAGCTTGAAGGGGATTGTGTTTTTTCCCCGAAGTGGAAAGTCACTCCCATGGATGTCCTTTTGTTTGTTTTGGTTGATGATAGGCTCTTACTTTGACGGAAAAGTCCATGCAGACCGATTGGAAGGTCCCCTACTTTTCCAACAAACACATACTGAACGAAGCAAAAAGTGGGCTTTCATTTGCGTTTCAGCATATGCTGTGATCGGACTCCCAGAAGTGTGAGTGAGGTGGCGAATCGGTCGAGTACTGAGATCACATCGCTGACAGGTCTTCGGTTGACAGGTCTTCGAGCTGTCGAGGTGGGACCCTGATCTTTGGAGGTCCATCATCTCATCGAATGAATGGATACTCAAACCTGATGCAGCCGCAACCTGATGTACTCCCCCATCTTAACAATCATGGAAGTGGATGGCCTGGACCCTTGCAAGACGATTTTCTTCTACCAATAGGGGGTTAGTTGTCCACTTCCATGATTGTTGGGGTAGGGTAACAACCCAGCCAGTATCCTTTGAGGTCAAGAGAAGCTAAGTGTCTTCCCCTTACCTCACACAAGTGATACTGACGCTCACCGAGTCCATACCGCAGGCAGCAGACTGGTTCCTCATGTCAATCCATGTGGATCGACCATGTTCGTGCTGTACACTCGGACGAACGCATCACATGGATGGTCTTTTCTCATGGTCCCAAATCCAAAGGGAAGGGCGGTCCCTTGCTTTCTTTCCGGAACACCGGGGGGGGTGAACTCCACATCCACCTTAGTGAGTCGGAGTGTATGTACACCAGCTGCACCAGCTGAGGAGTTTGCCGCCAAGATCGTGCGGAAGGCGCCGAGTCGACTCGTGGCCGCCCATGCGCTGTGCTCACGCGATGCGAGGTGACGCGTCGGGTGGTTAACCAAGATGGTTCAATGGTGAAGTCCAGCTTGTCAAACCATTGTGGGTATGCAGAGTTCAATTCAGGATGGTTGGATGACTCGATCCTACCTTTCTTGGTGCTAGTCACAATGGTCCAGTCATCCGAAGATGGGACAAAGGAAACCGTTCAATCTGCAGCTTTATTTTGTAAGTTGAGTTGTTCGCACCATCAAATCTGCTGATTTTACGTTGTGCCGTCCTTTGAGAATCCCACCGATCCTCCTGCAGGACTGTGGGGTTCCTTGTAGCCTAGCTTACGCAGTGCTGCAGTACTGCCGCCCTGTGCACAGACCCTACGCTGTGCTTACGCTGTGCCCAGGCACGTTTGCAGCCCAGGGACATGAAGTATTTGTTGGGCGAGGATGGTGAGGCTGGTTGGATGCATCTGTTGGAATGGCCATCGAAGTCCAAAGGCTAAGGTTTCCTTGGGCATCCACCACTGCACAGCATCGAAATGGGTAGTTTAGACGCCACACCCTGGACCAATGGGTAGTTTTCCTTGGGAGCTCGGAGGTCTCCCTATTTTAACACACACCCAAATGAACAGTTACTGGAACTGCCACTTGAACATGCTTGGAACTGGGCTCGAGAGAGGAGGCAAGCCGATGGCAACTTGGTGATGCCACGATAGAAACACAAGAAGACACATGTGGTGTTTGAGCATGTCCGAGCATATATAATATGTTTGTTTTCATGAGTTTGCCACTGGCCAACTATATTTTTCTTTGGGTGTTTGGGTCCCCTTGCTCTACGACGACCCCCCAAACTTGACCAAGCCGAACCAAAAAGGTCAAATAATAATTACAATCAAAGTCCACCAATTTGGGTGATCTCCCCAAACCCAGCAGCTTAAGAAGGCTTACCATAAGAACGTACAATTGACGTACTTCCTGGGATTTGGCTTCACGTGCCCCAAGGGCTGCCCAACGTATCCCAACGTGGTCCTTTGCATGACGAAAACTCGTTCGGAGTCGACCCGACCACATCGCTCGCACCGTGGAGCTTCTTGCTTTGAGGGTGTGTCGTCCATGGTCTCATTCTGAGCAAGGCAAGTTCTTGAGTCCTTCTCCAGACTGTTTGGGGTTGACTCAGTAGATCTCAGTAGATTCTTTTGCCGGTTTTTCGGACACCGACTACATGGTAGTCTACCGGATGACCGACTACTTCTACGCTGTGAAGGTTCCTGACTAGACCACGACACTTGCCAAAAACGCCGGTAGAAAAGGAGGCGCAACGAAGAAGCACCTTCTCCGAGCACCAAGACAGACGAAACGAGGAAGCTGGCAGCCTGACCGAGCGAAGCTGCGAGCTACAGCGAAACAAGGAACAGAACGGCGTTTTTTGCGCACTCGAGTAGACATTTAATGCGAGCGGACATGGACTGCCATGGCAGACGATGTGATTTTTGCACCTCCCAGGCACTGCGATGTGGATTTTGGCTGCGATAAGGAAGTTATTTGGGCAAACAATGTGGGAGACCCATTCATGTGCATTGTTTCAGAGATGGGACCGTTTTAGGATTGTTGGATGGAATTATGAAGAATTAGTACTTGCACATGTACATTGGCTTTAGATGCCTATCACTGCATCATTTTCACACTGCATCGTTTGTTTCATTGACTGCTTGCTTTGCAGGTCTTTGAGTATATATAGGGAGCACAAGAATGCAAGATAACGAACTCAGTTTCTTCTTCGGCTTTCCGAGTTGATCAATTGGATGTCGCCGGAAGAACATGCAAATGTCCGATGTTTGGACAAGCCTAGGAACGTTAAACGGAAAGACATGTGTATGACATGTGTAAAACACCTAATAACTCTTCTTTGTCCATTCACTCTGGTTGGTGCAACCCGAAGCCAAGGTTGTACCCTCTCAGGTCCAAATCACATGCACCAAAGTGGGATCCGCCACAAACCGACGGATCCGACCCAAAAACGACACCAGGCGGATCGCCGCTTCCGCCTTGGCCGAGATCCAGGAGCGAGAGTTCCCTCGATCGCCGGCCCCGGTGAAACCGGGGCCGAGAACAAACGCTGTCGCCAGTCAAGCGGGGAGTCGACCAGGGACACGGCTGATTTGGAGCTTTCATGAAACACTCATCATGACCGTTCCCTGAGACCGGGACGTTCTTTGATCAGCCGCTTGCACCCTGAAGGGTCCCGGAATCGTGGGGACAAGCGTCCTCCAAGAATGTCCCAAGCCGAGCTGCCAAATCACAACTCGACTGGCCTGCCTATGGATTCCGATTGCAATTGGAAAGTCACGCTTTTTCCAGATGTTTCTCAGAAAAGGAACTCTCAACCTTGTCTTCTGAGAGCATTTGCGTCTCCCATAATGAACCTTCACTGCAGAGACCAGCATGGACCAGGAGCAAGCAGAAGCACCTGGAGCAGGCGCAGCGGCTCAAACATCGGTGGCTCACCGTTTTCACGGACGTTCCCGCTCTGGACATGGACGGACGAACCCTCCAGGTCGGTGTTTCTAGCGTCTTCTCCATAATCACAACCGCGGCTGGCAGCTCCATGGAATCTCTCCGTGTCTTTGCGGGGCTGCCATCCCCCCAAAAGAGAACGCAGAAGGAGCGGAAAACCTTGAGAAAACGCACCGTAAGAGCTTCCCTCAAAGAAGGTGAACAGTCGACATGTCGATGTCTTCGGTGAGGCGATGCTTCTCTTCCCAGCGAGGTGGCTGTCTTCGGGAACGCGCTGGGAGACAAATGGAATGGGGGAGAAATACCTAGAAATACCACAGCTGGAGGATGCTGGAGGCGCTCTCAACCGCATGAGGTAGCACCAAAATAGCGAAGTCTTGTTCCGTCAATGGGTCAGTTGGAGTAGGGGTCACGTCGTATTAGGTCACTGTTCATAAATTGCAACCCCATCCAGTTTCTTCTGGAATATCACTGTTCGATCAACGTCAACACTTCAATTTGTTGACCGGCCTGTGTTCCTTTTGGGGATGTGCACTACTTGTACAGTACAACTACTGTTCCCAGGGTATGTTTTATCCCACAGAAGGTTGGAAGTTTCATATGTGCTTATTGCATGTGTGCACACTAGCAGAAATTCCATGACCGCAGTAGCCACGCCGCGAAGAAAGAAAAAAGACACACCACTACCAACCCTCAAAGGGACTGACCTAGGAGCTGGAATGGTTTGGGGAGAATTCAGAATTCAAATGATGAGCAAATCATTTCTGGGTATAGTATATCTTCAGTCTTCAGTTGCATATATATTATGTCTTGGTATAGTATGATGATCAACTCCCCAGCACAAGTCGATGTTTCTCTTGGCGTTGATACTCGCGCGTCGTCTCCGTTGGGTCCACGTAGGTCCAGGAGATTCTGGAAGAGCGTTCACGAGAAGTCTCCAGGCGTTCACGAAGCACATTCACTTGGTGTTGCCTTGAGTGCGTTGCTTGGGTCAAGACATGTGTATAGGCATATGGGTGTGTTTTAAACTAGGGAGAAGGAAACAACACCCAAACTTGTTGGTTGGGTGTCTCACTGTCAAAGTACAAGCCCATTGCATATAAGTCTTGGAAGAAAGCCATCCATCAGCTCAGCTAAGTGCCAACTGATGTTTTTTAAAATCTCTCAACCACTGGACATCCCCGCCGTGTCGGGGAAAAAGAAGCCAAGAGACCACCGGTTCAGCCCGGGGGAGGCGAAGAAAGACGACCTTTTGTCCAATTCGGCACATTGATCTTTTGATTTGGACCAAAAGCTTTGGCAGATCGAAATCACTAAGAGTTTCAGATGCCAAATTGCCCCTTTCGAAAGGAAACGCCTCTTGTTGTTCTCCCTTGACGAGTCGTCGCCGCCCGTATGCGCAGCGGCACAAAACCCGCCGTGCCGGGCGGGGCGGGGAGCAGGCGATTGGAGGCGCTCGGTGCAGTGGACCTTCCAGCAAAAAGTGGGAGCCTCGAAGAGTCCTGGGAGTCCTATGAAAAGGAGAAGTCGTCCGGAAGAGCATCCAAGAACCAGGAGGATACTGTATCCATTTTTTCTCTGGTATTTGCAGTGGATTGGGATGTGAAGTATTCTGTGGTTGCTGTTCAACCTATCCTAGCTCGTGCAACACAGGTTTCAGAAGTCTACAGACTACAGACAGAGCCTGAATGGATCAAGTTATATAGATGTCAACTCTCTTTGAACTCATTTTTCGATGCGCTTTTCCTTTTTTGTCACGCCTTTTCAACGGAGTCACACCACCACCATCACGGCTTTACGGCTTCACCAGCGCGAGCGGCGCGTCAGGCGATGAGGCGCCAGCTCCTTCGCCGGCACCAGCGCCCATGGACTTCCCCTCCTTCGCGCAGCCCAGGAGCCTCCGGAATCCTGTCCGGTCGAGCTGGACGGTATGATTATATGATGCTGAAAGCGATGGGTCCTCTTCAGAAGTTCTTGGTGTTTGATATGCTTTTTAACCATGTGGTCACAGTAATTGTTCCTTGTTTTGCTTCTTTCTTCGGTTTAAGGCTTCACTTTTATGCTGCACTACATCGTATGTGGAGCTAGCCCGAACTGTTCTTGACAGCAGTCCCACTTTGCTGTGCTGCTGGACTGGTTTGTTCGTTTCCTATTAAGATGCGTTGCTTTTTCCTTTTAAATTGGCACACCCGGATTGCTTTGAACCTTGGGTTTTGGCCAAGTTTGGCAGAATTCTTGTAGTCCCGGCTCCAGAACAAGTCAGCGTTTGGGCACGGTCAGGATTCGTCAAGAACAAGTTGACTGGGAGGCGGATTTTGGTGTTTGAGCGACTGAAGTGCTTAGCTTGGGTGGGGTGGTACGTTTGGACCAGAACAGATCAGCAGATGGAATCTGTGTGGAATAGTAGCCTTCGAGGGCCACCTGAAATCTTGTTCAAATACCTTTCAAAGTCCAATTCTTGGAGGCTTCATGCTTCGTGTTCTGGCTTCACAGCCTCACCACGACGGACAAGTATAAAGGTTGTACAGTCAAATTGAACTATGCAGCTAATACTTGATACTCGTACTAGTAAGTTCCAGTGAGCTTGGCCCAGATGGCAGGTGCCGCAGATCATTCTCGACCGCTTGGCTCAGGCCTGGTGCCCCAGATCAACTGGCAATTGGGGGAGTTGAACGTGTGATTAGACCAGAAGTTATGTTCATGTTTTTGTGCATGCGATGCATGTATTTGCCGACAACCTGGACCCAACACACTCTGGATAAACGATCGACGCACTCCGATGCGAAAAGCCTTTCTTTGGTCACACGCGTCTGAACCGGGGTCCCTGGTGATGTGTTCAAGTCTCCTTGGCATCCGCAGCAAGTGGCCCTATATCCCCTATGCAGTGAATGTTCGTCACAACAAAGCGAAGAACAAATGGTGTTGACATGTACATCCCTCCTGTTCTTGCGAGACTGGTGCTCGAGAAACCCTAAATGAAAGGCCACTGCATTTCTGAACCTTGCTTCATTGTATTTCAAGACTATATGAGAGCAGATTTTGCACAGAATGAAGAAAACTGAACTGCAAGGAGATCGCATCAAGTTTTAAGCTGATCCAAAATGTCCTCATGCCTCCAGTGCAAATGTACTGGGTCTACAACGGATGTCCTTGGATTTGTTTGGTTCTACTACCCTGCAGATTAACATGGAACCCCAAAACCACTTCCACCGGTCAATTGTCAGGATGCATGTTCCTGTAGTTTGCGAGAAGGTACTTGGTTAGATTATCACTGCAAATCCTCAAACATTTTAAGCTTAAGATGTGTTTTGGATCCTGTCGAGCGGCGTGTGTGTTTGAAAACGTGCTCCAGGCCTGTGACGAGGACCGCGTGGCTGAACCAAACCGGTTTTTTCCCTCATAAAGCTCTACCAGCTCGTTGACTATACCGTGTGCATGAGCACTTCTTTGGTCTTGAGGAACGAATTGCCAAGTAACAATCCATTGAACACCAAACGAAATGCCTTCTGCATCCTTTTGCAAAAAGAATAGCATGTACACACCACCCCAGAAAACCGGCCACAATGACAAGGACTTTTGAGTATGGTGTCAGTATGGTGAATCAGAGTGTGACAGAATCCGGAAACACGCGTTGCGTGACATGAGGACCACGGACACAAGCTCATGACTGAATCATCAATAGATGCACATGAATGCACTAAAAATGGGGGAATAACAGGCACATGAGTATATCGCCATGTTTGCTAGGCCAAGAGCTCAGGGGAACCCGGCAGTCCGTGGACTTAGAGTTTTTCTTGTGGAGGTGAACATCCCTCCATGTAGTCGCTTGTGTTCCTGCTTGGCTCCTGACCTTCATGGCGATGGTTTCCACGCGCTCGTTCCGGCGCGCTGGGACCCTCCCGGTGTGGGCAAGGACCCTGAAGCGGTGGAGAAGTGCGTGCAAAGCTCCAAGTGTCTCGTCATAGTCGTGGCAGGCAGGCAGAAGTCGTGGCTAATTAAACGTCAACAAAAAGGACCAAAAAGCCAGAAACACTGGTATCGGTATTTGTAGTATGTAGCTCACATGATTCAGATTTGCCACTCATGCTCGTCATTGTTCTTTCTTTTTGGATTTCCTGGAGACCTCCTGTTTGCCACGCATTTGGGGCTTCATGGCACGGCGTTGCCGAGGTTTGCCTGGTCTGGCTTCGTGGATGCCGCGAAAGCTGCCTGGTGCAGAGCTCAGGCAGACGAAGCGGCCGAAACGCCACCGACGTCGGATGCGGAACCGGAACCGACCTTCGCGTTCGCTCGAAAGACGAACGTTCGCCGCCGGTTTTTGTGCAAAGGGATGGTCGAGTCGTCGAGTGGTCAGTCGCTTCTATCGAAGGGTTCGTCGTTTGTCCACTGGCAGGGCTTGGTGGATGCGGAGGAAGGAGGGTCGGGGTGATTGGTGAATGGTATCATTTACGCCCTGGGATTAACATGGAACCTGAAAACCACTGGTTTGTAGAGGAAAATAGTCTTCAATGGTTTCCATCTTAATCTTCTCGGGAGTATCAGGTGTTTTTCTTGGGGGTTTGAGGGGGCCAACAATACCTCAGCCTCAGTCGAAGGATGAAATGACAACAGATGACCACACAGTGCGGCACACCTGTATTCTGCATTAGTCTGTGGTCTTCATGGATGAACAAATCAACCTTGTTCTATCAAAGAAGCGTAGGTTATGGCAAATGATTCTCAGCTGGCCATTTTGGTAGCTCAGGACATCTGCATGGTAGTATTTGGATGTATTTGGCTGTATCAGCGATTTCAGGCAGGATCTTTGTCATGGACCACCCCTCGGTGATCCTCTCTCAACCACCGAGCTCATCCTCCATCCGAGTCTCCGAAGGTCTCACAGTCGGCCCCTACACTCCTTCGTCTCACTTCTGAGGATCGGTGGCACGCAGCTGCTGACGTATGGGGAGCCGTGTTCGGGGGGACGAGGGTGTGCGTGTGTGAGCCTATTTGCGGAATTGGGGGAGTGATGTGGAAAAAAGATCCTCGAGGTGTTCCACAAGCCGATCATTGAAAGAGATATGGTGAATTATGGTGACATGGGACATCTATGATCGCGAGCTGGAAGATGTATCAAGGTGGTTTCAAGATGTTTGTTCAACTGGAGGTAACGCAGCTTGATGGCTGTTTCATTCACAGAAAGTTTGATCAAGACTTGGCCTGCAGCCGCTGATGTCACTTCCATGACCAAAGCAATCATGTGGATGAGGTTGCATGGACTCTGTATACGATGTCCAACATTTAGACTCTAGACTTCCCCAACACTTCTGAGCTCCTGGAGATTTCAGTGAAGTAGCTCAGATGTTCTTCTGAGTATCTTAAAGAGTTGCACATTATCAATGGCACGGTATCTCCGTTCGACCTACATTCAACATCCCATATAGAGGTTAGAATGGTTCTACTTCTTTGTGCTCCTATAGCCCTAGAACCCCTTTCTGTCTGACGTTTGAGAGGAAATCCATTTGCATCTGACCCTCGTCAGACCTCCTTTGGACCACCTGGTGACCTGCATCATTTCAGAACTCAGCGTTAACATTGGTTAGGTTGATATGTGGTTAGGTTGATATGTGTTTGAATTTCAAGTGGTGTTTGAAAGTCGTGAACAGCGCATCATTGAAAGCTGTGAAAGAAGGAGATCGACATTATGATCATAATATGATATGTTGAAAATTATTTTGTTCGAATTTCTTTCACATGTTGTGACCGTTGCGTCCCAAAGGCGCGGTTTTTTAGAATTTATAACAGCCTGAAACCAAGTCGCTTTTCCAACTTTTGTTGTCCCGCTGGAGACTCCACGCTGCTTCAGCGAGGAGCTTTTGCCCGCCGGCACTCAGAAGGCCTTGGCCGTGATGGCCCCAGGCACAGCAACGGTCGTTGAAACGGTCGCAGCAACGAGTCCCTGGGTCCTCACCATGTCCTTCTTATCAAGACGTTGGATCCCGTGGTTTTTCGAAGATCGGAGCAACGTTTTTTCGGCCACATTCAGCCTTCGGACCCCAGGTCTGACGCTGGGCCATCCGCCGCTGCGTCACGACGTTCGAGAACGTCGTGCGCACGATGCCCGATCGATGGCGATGGATTCCGTCCGAGCGTCCAGGTATGCACTTCTTGGGTGCTCCTCGACAGCACGAGGTGACGTGGGTGCAGAATTCCCATGGGTCCGCGGGCCAGATGCACTAAGAGGATAACTCGTGGTGGTGCTGCAGAAGTGAGTCCCCTGGTCAGCTGGGCCGGGGTCTTGGCCTTCGTAGACGGTTCCTCAACTCCCGAAGCTGGGGTTCCTGAAGGTTAGACAGTTAAACAAGGAATGCATCCGAAAAGAAGAATTACAAGAAACCCCAGACAAACTTGTAAGATCTTGTAAGATGTATTTCGGTTCTACAGTGCATTACAGTGCTACAAAAGCTGGGAAATTTTGTCCTATGTGGCCTTACAAGATGGGTGCAGCACAAGCTTCCTATCCAAACCGCTACTCGATGTAAAGAGCGTTCCCATCTCACCCAAAATCGATTGCAACGCCGGTGACCGGGCGTCGATGTCTCATCCACATCTCCGCCGTCTCCGCCGTATGCCGTTGAGCTCCGCAGATCGCCTTAGAGCTGGGCATGGGCCGTGGCCGCTGTGCGCTGCAGCTCTTCTTGCAGGGCGCCACGGTGCTAGGCGTGGATTCGCATCAGGCGAAGCGGTTGAATCGATTGAAATTCCTGGCAATATCCATGGATTTTGGATGATTTTGGACAGGTCAATTCACGAAAAGTGGTTGGAAATGATCCCAAGAAATCCAAGTCTTAGGGCAGATGAGCTTCTTGGCCGTTCTTGGCCTAAAAGACACTTCACCAAGTGCATTTTTCCAACACGAACACGGAGACATTCCACTTTGAGGGACGGTCAAGGAGACGGTCATGGCCAGCTCTGGTCACCTCGTGGCAGGCGTGGAGTTGGCCTTTGAGCGGTATCGGAAAGCGCTGGAGGCGATGGAACGCTTGGCCCACCGGCAGGGGGGCCCGAGGGGGATCTGTGTCTCTCCAGGGCGGTGGGAGGGTAAGTGAGGCGCAGATGGGCGGAGGGTAAGCGAAGAGTTCAGGCTGCAGATGTGGCAGATATCCGGGTTTGGGGGGTGATTTTGGGAGGTCCAGGAATAGCTGCCAACCCACAAACAAAATCCTTTTGGTGAGGTAGTTTAATTGACATCCTTTGGCATCTGATTCTTCGCGGAGCGCGGAGATCCGTTGCGGTGGAGCGTGGATCTCCCCGCGCGCGTTTGGGCGGAAGCGGGGATCTCCCCGCTCAGGTGCCCCGAGGAGTTGCGGGTGAGCTTTCAAAACTCCAAGGCACCAGTGTCGACGCGACGCGGGTCCGAACAACAAATCTGGGAACCGAGACGACCAGGGTCGACGGATCAGAAGAGAAAAAGGACAGAAACCCAAACAAGATCTCCACAGAAGTTCCGATCAGGGAAGTTCTGTCGAGAATTTCCAGAGGTACCGGAATTTTCACATCACCTGTCGTTCGCCTCCGGCCGGGGTGTTTCTTTCAAGATGCATCGCATGGGACTTGAGTTATCCAAGGAGTTCAACATAGTTCAACTAATGATTCATCGATAGACTCTATTCCTACAAACCTTGAAAACTGGTCTTCTTCGTGTTGACAGAAAGCTGGTAAGTCTTTGGTTCTCTATTGATCCATATCCCCTATACGGCTCCAAGTGCCTACTCAGAAGGTATTTCGACCCTCTAAACCCACCCCAAACACCTTAGAAGGTACTTGGAGCCCTAGGGATCTCTTGTTCCTGGCTTCCGTCCGACCTTCTGTTGTGAGGCTCGCTTGATGGGAGCCAACACGCAGACGGGCTTCATGGAGGCCCTGGTGTCAGGATGGGCCCAAACAAGATGTACACAATTGTACACACTTCGACTTGGGGGTTTACATGGCGAACTAAAACCAAACTTGAAGATATGAACAAGTTGTGCAGTATGACTCAGGTATGTGTCAAGCACGGAATCCACCCTTGGATGGTTCATTCCATCCAGCATTTCCCTCCACAGCCATCCTCTCGTCCCACAGCATTCCGCACCAACCCACCAAAGCGGAGTGATGTCTTCCAACGCGCAAAACGGCGACCCATCGGAGGTGCGCTACGGCGACTTCTTTCAGATCGTCAAGGACGAGGAGATCGCAGCGGCCACGCTGATCTTCCTCCAGGCAACACGCGGTTGCAATCTTCTTCAGCTGTGGCTATAGCATGCTATAGCTGTTTCTCCACGTAAACGGGAAGAGTTGGATAGATGTTTCACGATGTTTCTAGGTCTTCCCCCAAAAACATCGCGTGCCATGTTGGAATTCTGAGTTGAAGGGTTTCCTGTCCTTCTCATCTGGCAGGTTTGTCTCCCCCGTGCCTCCTGGCCGAGCGTGAGGCACGTTCCAAGGGGATGAGGATCGAACGATCGCTCATTGTGGTCAATCAATGTCCTTCAGATGTTCCTGGCTCCATGCCATGTCCTTCAATCCTGTATCAATGTCCTTTGTGCTCGTGACGTGTTTCTTACGAACGAACTGAAAGAAGAGAAACAAAAGATATGAAAAGCCTCTACAGCTCAAACATCAGGAGGCTCTGCTTAACCCTCCTGGTCCCTTCGGATCGCCTGACGCTGGAGGTCATTCTTGGAGCATTGCTCTCCGGGATGCCGTGTCTTGACCTTCCAGGCCTGTGGGGAACAGGGAGGCCCAGACCAGAGGCAACAGCGAACACCGCCTTAAGCATCCTTAAGCTTATAGTCTTATGCCAGCACGATAGACCCCCTGACTATCTATTTTCCATCTAACAGCCACCCTTTGGATCCTTTGGGTGGTGCTGATGTATACATGTTAAATGATTTAGATGTATGATAATATGATACATGTTTGCCTCCATTCATCTCGAACTCCTTCGAACTCTAAGGGGAGAAATCTTGTGATGTTCCCCAAGCGGCACGCGCTCGGCTTCCACGACTTGCACATTTGGAGCCTTCGAGCTTCGGGATATCCCTCCCATTGGGCGTCCGAAGGGCACCGCATCCCTTCCACGTGTATTGGAACGAACAAAGTCCCGAGAGGGCAGTGCCTGACATTTCAAAGTGACAGGGTCCCTTGGCGAAGGTTTTTAGGATCGAGGAGTTGGGTCTTAGTGGATGGGAGTTGAGCCATCCCGAAGTAACTAGATTTACGATGGGAGCATCTGATACGTACGTAATTGTACGTATATATTACAATTATATATACAATATTGGCTTGCCAATTTGTGTGTAACGCACTTTGGGAAAGTCCAACGAGAGAGGCTGGAAGCATATGTCTTTTTTGTTGAACAGATAGCATATGATAGCATAATTATCCTGATACTATGATACCATGACAATTAATTAATACATATCATCAAATTGCACAAAATAACGAGCTTACATCTTGTTTTCGAAGCGAGGAAGGTCTTCCGCACAAACCATCCGGAACCGCCACAGGCTTGAGTGAGTTTGGGGTCCGAAACCGACCCCACCAAGCCTCCGCTTCTTGGCGAAACACAGAAGCCCTGTTGTCACAGGACCTGCGGGAAGTCTACCGAGGCTCCTCCGGTGGTGGGCAGCCAGATGGGTGATGGGCGAATTCATGACCTCACATGTGATAGTGTCTTTTAGTCGTGCTCAAAGATCCCCCGAAACAGGAGCACAAATGAGAGGACACAAAAAAGAGTTCTACCGCTTCAATTCATGGTCTTCCAGATAGTTTTTGTTGGTATCTTCTCCCTACTTTGGTATTTCTCCCAGATGTCTCTTCAATTTGGTTAATGTTGGCTATCTTTTGGTGCGGTCTCTTCTCCCTTTGACCCCAGACATGACACCGCTTCCGCTGCTTCGGACCGCCAGGCGAGACGCGCGGACCGAGCTCCTTCCCCTTCCGCGACATCGGCTCGCCGGTGCTGGTCGAGACCTGAAGGAAGCCGAAGGAACCCATGGGACTTTTCTCGGTGAGACCACGTTGAAAGAACATGGGTCGGGAACCTACTTTAAAATGATTGAAAGAACATCTCGGCAATTGTGTGTTTTTCGGATGTTCTTTTTTATGTTTTCTTTCAATCATTTGTGCTTAGGCGTTTTGTTGCACTCCTTGTGGATGTGTGGAGCTAGTCCAAACACGCATGTGCAGCAGCTGCGGCTTTAAGCTTCGACGAAGTCAACTAGTGTGAGGTCTCTCATCCACTGAACAGCATCTTCCTTTCCAAGTCCAAAAGTGCTTTCCGTGACGTGGGTGCCCAGGCCTGCACGTGGGCCACCGCCGGTCACAGGCCTCCTGGGCAGAACGGCGGAATGGATAGGAGGAGATTTGATTCAAACAATCTGGATCATCCAAGTATGTCATATTGACCTACATTGGGGTGGTTTGAGGGGTTCATGTAGGTCCATGATGGTCCATGTAGGTCACCTTTCCCATACATGGCCTTGGTGGTCCTAGATGTCCGGCCCGCGCCAAAAAGGCCATCGTTTTGGTCGTTTTTGGGGGGATGGTTCATTGATACCCCAAAACATCTCCGCCACGTCCAACCCCCCCCGTTTTATATCTATGAAATCCCAAGCAGGACCCCCTGGCGGAATGCAGAGGGGTATGTTCATTGAAAGGCACCCCCCACCAGTCAGTGGATAATGTCTCACCTGTTGGAGCCCTTCAAACCGTTGGTAATCAATGATATAATCTGTTCGACACTGAGTGGCGTACTTGTCCAAGACGGAAGGACGACAAGTCCAAGTGGGTGTGTGCAATCCATGTTTGCAAAAAACTCGCTCACCACGGCAACTGGAACCGCCAGTTCATTCAAGAACCGTAATCTTATATTATATATATATGCCTTTGGAAGGTGTCTTCCCTCAATGAGGGTTGGTTTGCTACTGAGGGGCCTAAAAGAATCAGAGGATTCAACACCAGTTTTGGCAAAGTCGATCATCCGATAGGCAGGTCCAATTGAGGCAATTGAGTGCCTCAGACCGTTGGTGAGTGGATGGCCTTCGAGTGCCTTTTGGGTGCCACACCAGGTCGAGCAAACTGTTAGCAGCTAGCACACCAAGTCGAGCCGCAGTGACGGAATCGGAACGCCTTCATTGCCGCCGCAGGTTCCATTGCTACGAGCGTTTGGATTTGGAGGAGGAGCGACGGATCTTGGAGAGGCACAGATGCACAGTATGAATTTGATTACAGTGGTTTCAGAGTAGATGGCACAGACCTCAAGATGTCCATCAGATGGGGGGTCCATATAAACCACCTCTTGGGGTCTGTGCCATCTACTCTCAATCCACTATAATTTGATTCAAGCCATGTCAAACGAAGTGAAATGAGATTATCAACGAGTGAAATGGGGGCCAGACAGGGCCAATTGACAATCATACGAATCATATGCTTTGAGGCATGAGAAGACTGATTGAAGTTGTTTCAGATGACACACATGATCTTCCACGGACGTCCAGCTTCCTTTAGGTCGGGCCTGCGGCCGGAGCACCTGCCGCAGACGAGAAAAACGTGTGATGAGCGCCAGGGTTGGCTTCGAGCAGCATGACTTCGGTGCAAAAGCGATCTCACGGGCGTAAGTATCGATCAACAACGGGTTGTTGAAGTTTCCACAGAAACGATTTGTCAATCAACTATTTATATCTTCCACGGAGAAATCATTGAATACCTTTGACCAGACGCTGGACCACATCATATCACATCTCACTTCTTGAAGTGGCAAACACATTAACACATTCAACAAAAAGAATGTCTTGCATTGAAGAAACAGTGTTTTTTGCATCAATTCTGAGAAGGCTCATTATGTTCAAAGTTCATGGATGGTCTTCTAGTAGGATCTGCTACCGAGGGCATTGAAGCTTGATTCATGCTTGGCATATTTCAGGGCAGATCCAGATTAGTTGGCCTCCTCAATCACAAGGGTGGTGCTGTCAGCGGAGTGTAGGGCAAGTTCCAGTGGTGTTCTTCCTGGAAAGCCGGCAAATACATTGTTTGCTCAAGAGTGAATGCTGTCTTGTGGTTGTTTCGCATCATGTGTTTTAGGGGAACGAAGATTGCACATATAAGATGGTAATCCTCCCTGAACCAAAATATAGAGTGCCTGAGGATCAAACAGATGTTCCTTCCATCTCCGGATAATGACTACGGTTTATGTTGCCTCGATCGTCAGTTTGTTCACGGCTTAACAAAGCCAATGGCAAGACCCATAACCAGGACACCCGCATTTTGTCCACTACAGACAAATAATTCATTGTCCTATTGGAGTCCTCATTTCGATACAGCCAAGCTGCAACGTTTAAGTACACTCCTGGTGCAGGGAATGAGTGCATGAGCAAAGGCGAGCTATTTTGTCAAAGTATGAAGCAACCATAAAGCAACCAATGGTTAAATTCTCTTCGACAGCACTGACCGGCCACTGGGTGCTTTTTAGAACCACACATTCGACGGAGTCCAACTCTGGCCAACTCTCGACAGGTAAAGCTTCACCTCACAATGAAGCATCCACATATTTGCGAGGTGTGCTTCTCAGTCAGTCGATGTCAATCCGTTGACGTGCAGCTGCATGGGTTGCAGTGCATGAACATGTGTTTGTTTTCCTACTCATCCGAACTAAAACCAATCTGCCTGTCACCGAGGCTATGGATTGGGCCTCCAAGCGTCGACGAATTTGGGTCATCCACAACCCCGGTACAGCAACCCGTCACACGCTGAGCTCCCCAGTGAGGTCATGGAAGTCGACCACGGATTTGAAGACTCACAGACTCACGGATACTTCTCTCGTAGTCAGTCATGTTCCATTGATGTTCTCAGCCCGTCAACATCGACCTCGGAAGCCCCTGAAGTGCTAAAACCGGTGTTGTCTCCCCACCCACCCCACTGCCTCACCCGCCACCGTCACCTCACCGCCAAAACACCACCGCACATGACCACACCAGCCTGTATGCCGGGTGTGTATTGTTCGCGCTCTTCGGAGCCGACACGCCACACGCGTCAGCTGCTGGAATACTTCGACGAGCCCGGGACTGTGACGTTAATCTTGGAGCTGGGACGCTCAGCCGCGCCGGACATCTGACCGCTCACATCTCGCTGGGACGTCGGACGGCGCAGTTCGTGTGGGTGAAGGGACGAGGACGGGGTCACATCACTTAAACTTGAAATAGGGCGAGGTCAACAATGGTCAACATGGTCAATTACAAAGTGTGTGTGTTTTCTCCGCAGCTAATTGGAGGTTTGATCTTCCACAATTGTTGGGATGCCCGCCTCTCATCGTTGGTTTCGATTCGGGGCTGCCGACCCTCCAACGAATCGACGGCTTGTAGAGTCGAAGCTTGGAGTCGCAGAAGCTGTACCATCCAACAAGCAAACAACTGCTTAGCTATGCTTATTTTGTTTTCGGAACATGCAGATGTCACCCTCCTTTGCTCATGTTATTTCATCATATTTCATCTAACCTTTGGTTTGAAGCTACTGTTGCAGCCTTCAGCAGCAAACCCTTCCTGCGGCTACTCAGCTATTGTCGTTTCCGCAGGTACTGCCGCGGGGGCGATCTGTTTGACGCCATCGTGGCCCAGTCAAAGGCCACTCTGAGCGAAGAAGTCGGAAGTGTTTGGGCGATGTTTGATCCCAGAAGACCGGAGGCTTTGAGTGGCATAATTTGAATCCAGACTTTAGTGGTAGTGAGTCAAGCAGGAACACTCAAAGAGCATGTGTGGAAATCGAACTTGGACTCATGTTGCCCAAGGAGACGAGGTCAGTTACTGGAGGTGACATGCGAGTAACAAGCCTACTACAGTGCCGACTACCCATATCCAGTGGAAGATCATATTGTTGAAATGTCCTGGACGTGCTTCAAAATTCAACCCGCAAAACCCATTAGTGAACATCGCCTGGTAGACTACAGCTGAAGTATTCTTCAGTTCATTTCTGGGCCAATTGTTATATCATCGTGGCTTCCTTGATCCCCCCCAAGAAAAACGCCTCTTCACGTTGACCTCCAGCACCCAACGTCTCACTCGTTTCACCACCGCAAACTCGTCTCTTCTCAGCGCCTCACTCGTCGCCCTGGCAGACTACTGGGCGTGGCTTCACCGAGAAGCAAGCCATCATCGCATCGAAACATGTCTTGGTGCGGCACCCCGGAAGGATCGACTCGTCACCGACGTTCGATCCTCCGACCCCGGGGTGACCCCCGGATCTGCATGTGACCGCAGCTGTGACCGATCTTCTGCGGGTGGAAGGATCGGTTCTTTGGGGTGAATTGGATTCCACAGATCGAAGGAAGGCAATATCGCCTTAGAAATTTCGGCGTAATCTGATCTTTCCCCCAGCAGAGCACGCTGTTTTGGCTGTTGTATGTGTTGGTTCAGTTCCTTTCTTTTGTGGACTTTGGATGATGTGTGTTGCATGTTTGGCTGATTTGGACAGCAGACGGCCAGCTTTCCATGTCTTTCTGCACCGTTTTCCGATTTGGAGGTCAGAGCTGCTGTGGGGGGACGGGTAGTCCTGATTGGTGACACGCTTGTCCAAAAACTCCCCTCAATCACCTCTCCTGCAGCATCACTGTGTATCTTGCCGCCCCATCCCTCTTTGACTCCTTAACTCAACAACCTCACCTCACCCTCATCCACCGGAACTATCCCCCTTTGTTGCCCCCATCCTCCAAACACTTCACCTCCACAACTCCCCACCTCGACATCGATGCGCCGGCTCCATCCGTCCCCGTGGCCATCCCACGCAGTCGGCTCTTCAATATCTGCACCGGCAGAAAGTGGTGCACCGAGACATCAAGGTCCACCACCCGTTCCCGCGGCGGAGTGAGGAACGGGCGGTGTTTTCACGTAGACGGCGGTGTCCGGTGTCCACAGAACGTGTTTGATTAGATTTATGTTCAAAGTGTTGAACAGCTTGGGCTTAGCATCGCATTCAGGATGCTAAGAGGCTGAGAACTTCCCCAGCATACAGTCATGTCATGTCATAAGTTGTGCTTGTTTATCTCGGAACACATGTATACACGTTGCTTCCATGGACGAGTGGCACTACTAGACTGGTTTGGCGGCACTCTCTTGATGTCATGTTGCACGGCCCTGTTGGCATCTGCTGGCTGAGATCCTGGCTTCTGGGTACAAGTGACAAGTTTGGACATCTTTGGCAAGAATTCCGGGAGAGTTGTAGCACAAAGCTGTTGAACAGCTCGAAGCCTTTGCAACGCAAATATTGTTTCATATTGTTGCAGAATGCCACCAAAGAACAAATCCAAATGTGAGGAGTCCATGTCAATCAAGGTTCTCTGATTTCTTCCTGCTGACTCATTATGACAGCATGTAGGTAGCAGAAATGCCAATGACCATCACCAAACGGGGCCAAACGAAGCGATACATGTGCCACCCTGGCGCGGGCCATGGATCCAGCTCAGAGGCGACAAAAAAGGGCCGTTGTGCGGCGTTGCATGTGAATTGATCCCAACCAAAAAACAGTGAAACCAACCTAAGCCAACCATGCACAATGAAACCCCTCCAATTGGAAAGCGCCTGAAGCTCACTCCAGGCGAGCCCTGGCCGTGGCAGCCGCAGAGAAGCGGCGCTTGGGCACCAGTAACGGACCTGCAGGCAGGTATGTCTAGGTATCCCTTGAGGATCTTCGAGGATTTGAGCATGGTTGGTTTCCAACTGGGCTGCTGGGCCTTGTTTTCTCCAGTAACTGTGTTTTTTGGTGCATGGGGGTATGCAGGGGTTAGGTTCCTACACTCGTCGTTGACTGCCTACTAGAGAATGAACATGAAGTCAAGACAACAGTCAGTTGGTTTGTGATCCTATTGGGGTGATGTTTATTCCCACTGGCAGAGTCAGGTGCTGCATGATTCTCCGTGAATCATCTCCAGGTGCAAAAGAGGATGCTCATGCCGAAAAGAAGGAGGCTTCCAACAGGCGGACCGAGCGACATGTCCATTCCATTTGGGCTCCTGGCGGCTAGGTATCCCAAAACGATCCAATATGTCCAATTCAATTTGTATAACAGCCGCAGTCAAAGGTTGGTGATGTCATGGTAAAAACACACATGATGAGGGGTGTCTCCTCTTCTCCCCCCCACGACCTGGTAGACCCGATGTGGTAGACCTGATGTGTCAGACCGGTGGGTGGCGACCGGGGGTGAGGAGTGATCCCAGAGCCTCCGAGTTGCTTGTGGTCTTTGACAAAGTCGGGAGGCCGAGTTCGTCCGTGTTTTTCAGACGAACAGTGGTAACACTAGGGGTTCTTACAGAATAGTTAAGGCTGGGGTCTGATCGGAAGCCCCACAGAGAAGTCATTGACTAGCTTCCTTCATCTTAGCTTCTACCAGGAAAGTTTGGGAACCTTGTCCCTCATCTTGAGATACGTGTTGGTTATATATGTGTTTACTTTTCAGAAACACACAAAAACATCATGACAGTTGTGAACATTTCGGAGATTGGACAAGTGGTACATCATGTTGCCATTGTTGCCGTTGCCTCCGAGTGATTCAGCTGTATAGCAGGGGGTGTGCTTTTCCTTTGTTGAATATGCCACCCGGTCACTCATATGCAAGAAGGCGAGGAGAAAGGACGTAATGTGACGTAATGATATCATGTGTCGCTTCACCATTGTTTCACACTAAATAGTGTTGTGCTGTTCAATTCAAAATCCAACTTAAACCCTGTATTCGCCCCATCCCAAGGTGCACCAAGCAGTAGCAATGGTTGGTGAAGGAAAGCAAGTAGCTTCGACGCATAGACTCCCAGAAGTACTCCCAGATGTTTTTGTTTCCATAGAGAGCATCCTGATAGCTTCTCACACGTCGAGGTGGTGAGAAGACCAGGTCGGAAGAAGTGGAGTCAACATGTTTTTTGCGGTTCACCATGTGTTTTCGTACGTAGTCTTGCAGCAATGGTTGCTGAACATGGGTGATTTGAAACTTGAAACTCCCAGTCGTTACTGTGAGGTCCATTCAGAGGCCGTGAAGAGGCACAAGAACACCGGCCTAGATGCCCACCACGCTGGGAAGCCTAGCCTCAGCAAGTGATGTTTGGGTTTAATGAGCTCGAGCTGATTTAGTCACACTGTTCGCATCTGTTCGCAAAGAACCACATGGATGAGGATTCTGACGGTTGTTTACACTATATACGTGGAGTGAGAGGCACCGGTTTGGTCGGATTTTCATGGTCAAAAAACCGCCATCCACGTCTTCGTGATGCTTTCAGGGTCGACCTATCAGGGTTGATGCCCCCCAGCTTTGACCTATCCATCTCGAATCAACAAGGAGAACATCACACACCGGGCATGTTGTTTGTTTGTTTCTTTGGCATGTGTGGTTTGCAGTTGATGTTTGGACCACGACGTGGCGTCACGACGTGGCTTTCAAGAAAGCCAAAGTAAGAACTGCATGATTTGGGAACCCGGGAGCTTCACGGGGCCTCTTACCCGTTGAACAGTAGCTTCGTTTGTACAGTACCATCCTTCTCTTCATGCTTCAAACATATACCTTGACAGATCACTTGGTGTGTGAGTCATCACTGGTCTTGGGCTGTCAGTAAAGTTGTTATATAAGTTATATAGCTGTTCTCTCCTTTTCCTGCACGGCGTGTCCCAGTTTCTGCTTGTTCAGCTGAGGGTATAGTGCCACTTGGGTTTTATTCATCTTCAGCAACACGCTTCGTTTCTCAGCCTCAAACATGGAAGTTATCGCAGTGTCTGGCGAAACACTTGCCAAGCTCCATGAGGATGAACGACATGGTGGAACGTGGAAACTCAATTAGGGACCTGAAACGGTTTCGACAACGACTTTTCAGCGAAGAAGTCGGCGAGCTGCAGGATGACATGTGTCTGCCTTTGCCCAGTGTGCAAGTGATAGTCCTAAACTTTCATGCTCCTGATGAGATGGCAAAAGACAACTTGCTTTGTGAATGTGAGGGGAACAACATGGACACCATTGAGCAGCTGCTTAGACAACCGCAGGATCCAAATCTGAGAGGCCTTCAATTTGCAAATCAGCCAATTCATATTGCAGCTCAACACGGCCACTTAGGGGTTGTGCGGTTGTTGCTGGAAGCTGGAGCTGACAAAGATGCAGCATTGAGAAATGGGGAAAGGGCTTTGCATATTGCAGCTGAGCATGGCCACTTCAAAATTGTACAGCTGTTGCTTGAAGCTGGAGCTGACAAGGATGCAGCAACAGTAAATGGAAAAACGGCTTTGTGGCTTGCAGCTATGCATGGGCACATGAAAGTTGTACAGGTGGTGCTGAAATTTGGAGCTGATACAGATGCAGCGTTGGCATCTGGGGAAACAGCTTTATATGTTGCAGCCGTGAAAGGTCACTTAGAGGTTGTGCAGTTGTTGCTGGAAGCTGGAGCTGACACAGGTGCAGTAAGCGACAATAGGGAAACGGCTTTGCATATGGCAGCTGGGTGCGGCCACTTGGAAGTTGTACAGCTGTTGCTGGAAGCTGGGGCTGACAAAGATGCAGAATTGGCAAAAGGGGAAACGGCCTTGTATGTTGCAGCTGAGGAGGGACACTTTGAAGTTGTGCGCTTGTTACTGGAAGCTGGAGCCGACACAGATGCAGGAAAAGATGGAGTAACAGCTTTGCATATTGCAGCTCAGAATGGGCACTTGGAAGTTTATGGCTTGTTGCTTGAAGCTGGAGCTGACCAGCATGCAATAAGGCCATGTGGGACAATGGCTTGATGTGCTGCAACTCATAAAAGCTGTGTGGCGCTTGTTTATATAGCTGGAAGCTGTGGGATGTTGGGAATCTGGGAACTGAGAACCTTACTTTTGCAAGATCGGCATATCTGGAGATATACATCCCTCTAGTGTTCACCATGATCGATATTCCCTCACAAGTCCCAAAGACTTCATGGGACTGGATGATTATAGCGATCAGTTGGATTCAGTTGGGGTGGTGTATGTATCACGGTGCCCAATCTTCCAGTTTTAGAAAGCTTGTTTGAGTGGATTTGAGGTAGTTTCAGATGATTTCAGACGATTTCAGATACTTTTAGATGATTGCAGATAATTTATAGTGGCTTGACAGTAGATGGCACAGACCCCAATGTCGGTGGTTTATATGAACCCCCGTCGAGATAGGACATCATGGGGTCTCTGCCATCGAACCTCTGAAACCACTGTAAATCACCTTGACTAATTTCTCAGGATTTGAGGGATCTGACCACCGATTTATCTGACAGTAGACATGGACTTCGTTGACCTGGACTTCGTCTCTCAGGCACCTGCGCTGCGCAAGGCCAAACGCTCGGTAGAGGAGAGTTTGCAGCACGGAGGCCGGGCCACCGAAACGGAAGAGCTGGAAAAGGTCTGAAATCTGACGTTGGTGTCCATGCAGTGGGTTGGGTGTCTGAACTTGGAAACGATTGGTTTGAACGTGGAGTGGAGTGTACGGTTACACCCAAAGGATCCCAAAGGCACTATGCTAGTCACTATGCTATCTTTTGTTGGGAAGGTACCTCGTTGAACTTGGATTCACCTGGGAGTTCATAGGCCTTGCCTTGTCAACCGGTCACTGGATGTTGGAGATCCTCAGAGATTGAACCAATGAATGGCAATAGCTTGGTGGAAGGTAGATTTGTTGGTCAGAAAGTGAGCAGGCATGGGCACCTTGTCAATCTATTCTAAATTACACAGCATCCGGAAACAGCTCCCAACATTTCCAGGGCCTTGTGTATGGCACTTGGCTTTACTGCTGGGATGGCTTGATGCAGCTCTTTAACGGTCACTAGTTATTTTCATTCAACACCCTCTTGAAGTGACAACAGCAGCCAGCAACAAGAACAAAGTGTGTTTTAGCCCAGCTTCCATAAAAGATGTCTTTGGGAATCATCCCAAATTAACTTGCGCCCCAATCTTGAAGTTCTTGATCATCTCACGGCAGCCTGCTTCAGCCCGAAGCACACAGCAATCGCCAGACAACTTGACGCTTTCCTCACTGCACACGCTGAAGAACGTGGGGTTCGACACTGAGTGTTCTTGCGCCCGATGCACCACAGATGGCGGAATCGTCAGCTGCAGTGGTGGGAGATGGAGAGTGTTGGAGATGTGGTTAAGTTGGAGAGCCATGGAAGCCATTTGGGACAGAGAAGCCAGAGATACAAAGATCAGATGGTGAGCCTGGATAGTAGCCTGGATGCAAACCTAAGGCAAAACCCTGATTGTTCAGTTGCAAACGATACATGTTCCTTTTGGAGAACTTGCTGCACATTGTGTGCAAGAAGTTGCTAGCAAGTTCCGCAAGCGGTGGCTGCCAGCGAGAGCGATGAACATGCATGGATCCAGCAAGAGACATCACGAGACCTTGTTTGGAGGAAAGAACACATCGAATATATTACATGAGTTGCTTCAATTTGCTCAGATCTGTGTTTCAGACACGTTCTTTCCAACCCCTCCCAAAGCTTTTTAATTTTGGAACATTGGAGTGTTTCTTTCTTCATGGTCATATTGAATCACGATGCGTGTTTCTTGAAATGCTTCGGGCCGACGTCCCGCTTTGTCCTGGATGGCTTAGGCATTGGGTCGTGAGCCAGTTGCGTGAGCATCTAGAAGGCAGGGGTCCAGGGCGGTGGGAACTTCAGTCAGAATGGAGGTATATTCATGTTGCAATCAACAACTCTTCAAGACAACTATATAAGAATCAAACAAACAACTTCTAAACTCATTCTCATCAGCTTAAGACACCAACATCCAGAATCTTGGTGAGTGGAACAATGATCCTTGGCGATTAACTAACCTTGACTTGGTATGACTTGGTGAACCTTGGTGAGGGGAAAAAGAAGAGGACAAAAAAACGGACCCATGTCGTGGCAAACGATTCATCACCAAAAAGGCACGCAGCAGCGCTTGCTAATTTAACAGACTTCCCCTCAGTTTCTACAGGCCATACATGGGTATGTAGGGAGACTTCCCAGTTCTACCCCCTGGAAGAAGGAAAAAAGACCTGTCTATTGATTGGGGGTCTCCCTTTGAAAAGTCACGCCCATATTATAGGCCGTGGCCCATATTTGGGCGTGGAGCCCATGTATCGCAACAGCCGGCCCGACGACGAATTGGATGTCCTACTTAGATGGTCACATGCTTCAAAGTATACTAACAGTGGCTACATGAGGAAGAACATGGAAAAAAACATAATGTAGACTCTTGATTAATACACCCCCCCAATCCTCTTCAAAGGAGGGGCTTTATGGTCCTCAAGAGTCTACATGATGTGGTTTCCCATGTGTCCAAGTATACTGATAACAGTGGTTACATGGAGAAAAACATATGTGGCTTCCCATGTGTCCAAGGATTGGTTCCCATTCTTTCCCAAGGTCCGCCACCGGCCCAACCAGGTGAGGTCACAACGGTACCGAGCGCCAAGCGGGCGAGAACGGTGCCGGCGGCGACGCCGGAGTCATTCACTTGGTGGTACGTGAGCCACTGGGTTGCATCAGCGAGTGCTGGAATTTCCAGTGCTGTGGCCATGTAGCTCAAGGGAACTTGCAGAATGAAGGGACATCCCTGGAATACTTGGGGGGGGGGGTCCCATTGAACATGGTCGTCCTTACTTCGGGCCACGCCATCCACGTTGGTCGTGTAGTCCAGGTAGTTCATGGTAATTCCTGGTCGCGTCGCAGAGACTTGAGTCCGGTAAGTGGAGTCCGGTAAGTCGAGTCGAATTGAGTTGTGTGAAATGATTTCCAGAGGTCTCGAGGTGGCAACTAGAAGTTGATCATGCGCAAGCGCATGTTTTGGATCACGACCTGGACTGCTGATGACTTCTTCAAGCTACGAGTGATCGCGTGCGAACCAGCATGAACCACGAAGCTTCAAGAGCCGAAGCCCCGCACTCCACGGTGTCTCCGCTCAGATGCGAAGGGCGAGCGCGTGGAACATCGGAACGTGCCTTGGCGGATTGGGGCCACAGGTGTGTGGGGAGGTGCCACAGGTATAGCACAGGTCTGGCACAAAGAAAGCCTCAAAACATTGAAAAACTACCTGAGATACAAACTGTGGATATGTTTAATTGTGGATACTACTCTACCAGCTGGTGCACATTGGTATACACGAGTTTTTTGTCGCTGTTTTCCCACACAGTCTCGATCGTGCGAAGCTGGCGAGAACTGCTCGAAGATGATGTTCACCATGGTGAAAATCCATCGGAGTCGGGTCCAGCTCTTTCGAACCTTCCCGACTGAAAACAGATATAATACATGTGGGTACTTCGTACCCCTCAACACTTGATATCTATAAAATGATTCTCAGGTCCCCCCTGCCCTATCCTACACGGCTGGTACTTCATTCTACAGAATCCGAGGCGTTGTGTTGAACGATTTCACCCCAGTGCACCCCCAAGTCTCTACCGATCAAAGGCGTGATGCCAGGATGTTTTCGGGTTAACGTGACGGTCACAATCAACAGGGACTTCAACGAATGGCAGAGGGCAAAAACGAGTGGTTTTTCCGTCGGCACAGGATGCTGAGATGAAGGGCTCCGTGGGCAGCGAGACCTTCCGGGCGCGATCGGGAGGGAGGGAGTAGAGGGAGAGCCAACCCAGGACCGATCCGAGCACCGTAGACTCACTCATTGGTTCAAAAACAACATGGTCTTACTGATGGTCCTCCTGATAGACGTTCAGAACGTGTTGGGGGCGTGAAAATGGGCCGTTTGTAGTCTGTGAGTTTGTCAGTCTGCATTTCCTGTTCTTTTTGAATCCTTTGTTTCCTATTCGAGTTCCTATATGTATCTATATATATGTCAATGGTTGTAGGTTCGGTTTCCAGAAGTCTTGACATCGTTGCTGGCTGTTTTGAGGGCAGCAACATGCAGCAACCAGTTCAGCTCCCAAGCTTCCCACCTTGTGGTAGGCAGGACACATGAAATCAAAGTGGGCCATGGTGGGAAAGAGTGTGTGATACATCTCATGTGTTTTCAGCATATAAGAATCTTGAGTCAGAGGGTGTGTGTCAAGAGAGGCCCAGGCCCTTCCGGTTCAACATCCAGTGTTGGCCATCCATCGTCTCAAGACAACGTTGGCCAGGTGAGCATCATGCATTCGAGCGGGCGGATGGAGAAGGCATGATGAGCATTATAAGTGTCAAGTCCAGCGCGGCCGCGAAGTGTCATGAAATGTCATGGTCCAGTCGTGTCGGTGGCAGGGATTGAACGTAAAGAGAAGAGTACCCAGCACATTGTGTGCATATGTGTGCATACTGTGCATACTAGAGATGAACCTGTAACCGGCCCTTTGTCTCGATGTCACACTGGTTGGTGTTTTAAACAAGCGAACTTAGATGTTCCGACTAGCTGCAAAGTTCCGACCGCTCCGGTCTCCAATTGGTGCAACTGAGCTTCTCATTTATGTCACCCTTATCTATAGAAGGGATTCGACCAACCTCCAAGACCAAAGAGCAAGGTTTTGATGGATTCTCCTCCTGATCTGCCAGGAGTCCATAGAGCAAAACGCCAGAGAAACCGCATCCTGACGGAGTTTCCATTGTGTCACACACCACCAGGAATCCACTGTGGATGGCATGGCCGATGAAATATGAAGACCAAATCGGTGGTGAACTCACTTAGCGTCCATCGAGAGTGTGGGCCATCGAGAGTTCCGCTTTGGCACCGCTAGACTCTCGGTCGATACAGTCGTAGGCTTGGCTGCCTGATGCCAAAGCGCCGCCCATGAGTGCGTTTGCCCAGGAGCCTTTCCTTGTGCGCTTCGATAGACTGAGTCCATTATGGCATGTGAGACCAGATTTGTCCAGTGTCCCTTTCTTCAGAGGTTCTGTCGCAGAGTATAGACCATCCAAAGCCCAAAGGCCACGCCTCGATGATCTGCTCGATGTTCAGCTGAGGTCCCAAATGAGCCAGCTGAAGGCGGGGGAGCAGCACTGAGTGAACACTGGAAGCCCCAAAACTACGGGAAACAGCATGACATAAGTAAATATAAGTAGTATATATGGGCAATACAGGGTGCAACACGGTTGTGCTGGCAGTTGTCGTAAGTGCAAACTATGGCTGCATGGAAGAAAACACAGTCTCGTGTGTTTCAAACCACGCAAAAGGACAGTCCGCCACCAAACCTTTTCTTCGTCAGTCCGCATGGTGTTTCACAGTGAATCCATGTGCATCATAACTGGACGGAAATCTGGCCTTGAATCCATGTGAATCCCTGTGGACCTTCGTGAAACCGATGCTTGGCTCCTTAGCATGGCCGCCTTTGCACTGCTCCCATCGGTGACCCGTCAGCGACCAGTTTGGGACCCCAACACATGCGATGACTAACGTTTTGGGCAAGGGACGCATGGGATGCCCTGAAAGGATGCAGAGAAGAGCATCCACATGCTAGGAGCGAGGAGAAGGGCCAAGCAGACAAGCTAGAACTAGAAGACCCATGGACCTCCATGTTTCTCTACTTACTTCTACAAGGGTGGCATTTTTAGTCTTAAGATCCACAGCCGACAGAGCAACTCAACTGACCACGGTCTTGATCAGGTGCCGCAAAAGAACCACCGCAGCGCCAGGTGCTGCCAGCGCGGTGCTTCGTGCCGCTGCCAACAAAAGAACGGGCGGTTTCATGGCGGCGGCGATGTGGGGTAATGCATGAAGGGTGTGGAGTTGTTCCTTTTAGATGTTCGGCCTTGGCCCCTCCCAAGACCCTGCAGGACCCCTCATGCATCCGTTGATATAGCACCAAGCACCGGCCGTTCAACGGTTTCGAACGACTTCGCCGGCCTGCCTGGGGTTTAGAGTTGCTGGTCACTGGCATCCAGGAGTTGATGGTTGAGTGATGGTTCCACATATTCCATGTAGGGAGAGGGAACATAGATGCTAGATGAGCAAGGGCCACTTGCATCACGCTGGAAGTTGATTCAGGGTCTCAATCTCTGTCTTACCTTCGGTTTCCATGTCACTGTTGAGGACCCCAATGCATTGCTGCTGTGATGGTGCGATGCATCTACCGTTTTGCTTTCGGATGTGTTCGTTTCAGCAGCTGAATTCAGCCGTCACCCACTCGATTAAGGGAATGTCCCTCATAGGGTAACCTCAACTACTTGTAGAAGGCCCTTACTTGGCAGGGGAGGTGCTTTCTCATTAGAACAAAGAAGCTCGTCCTCGCACACAGCACTTTGGTTCGGCGTAATTAAGAGTTCCTGTCCATCAAGCCAAGCAGACAAGCAAATTGGCCACGAATAATTTCATACTGTAGCAAGTTAAAGATGCCCAGATGACCTACAAAGCCCGTTCTATTTATTGTTTGGACCTAGAGATGCCTAGTTCTCTTCATATTGGGTAGAGTCGAGAGTGACATGATTCACCTCCAATGAGCGATGATGTCCAAGCGACAGTTGAACGCAAAACTTCACTTTCCTGGGTGTCATGGCTTCTGAAGAAGAGGAGGCGGTGATGTCTGGTGGCAACCCGCCAGACATTGGTCCTGGTAGGATGGGTCCTTTAGGGTGTCGGTGTTGGTTTGCTCGCTTCGAGAAGTGACAAGTCGCATGTCTCAACCAGTTCTATGCGGAAGCACATCTAGCTGTGTTGAATATTTGGATGTGCCGAGCATGGGAGGTCTGGCGCCCATTGGGAGGCATGTTGAAAATGGGGTCTCCAACCAAATAGAAATGCGTCCTGTATTTTGTTGATTGGTGCAAACTAAATGCTGGTCCCAAACGCCCATTTCTGTACAACAAACGGATTGCCATTGCACCTAACCCAGTTCTTCCTGTGCTCAGTCCAAAGCAAACATGCCGTTCCAGGGGGAGCTGGATGTTGAGCTTGACGCCACCGACGCGCACTTGACGCATTTGGAGAAGCGGGTGAGGATGTCCGGGCGCCTGCACGAGCATCAGAGACAGACCTCTTGGATTGCTTTGGAATGAAGGCGGCGTTGGTCGGTTTGGATGGGCTGTTTGTTTGGAAAAGAGGGAGACGCCTTGGGTTTGGTGGGGGTCTGCCTTTTTTGAAGTACTAAGACGAACGAACACACCTCTCCTCGCACCTCTCAGGACTCATCTCATCCGCAGAGCTCGTGCTTCTCGGCGCGGTTTTCGACCGACTGCGAGGTCTTCCTGCATGGAGCTGGTGAAGTTTCATGCCAGCCACAGTCCCAAAGAGGCCCGGGTCAGCTGTCATCAGGTCATCAGCTGTCCTGGATGGAAGTGACACAGGGTCAAGGAGGCCCATGGATAAGTTTTACTGTAAAGGAGGCCCAACGTGTCCCTCTATCCCAGACCACCCTATGTGTTCCACAAATCTGCCTGTTCGGTCGAAGCAAAAGTCGATGAGAAATGGCTTCACCCCTTTCGGCCCTTGCGGGGTCCTTTCAGCCTCCAATCATCACTTTCCACCAGGTCGAGGTCTTCCTCACTGCAGCCAAAGCCGAGCTCAGTGAGGCGGAACGACTGACTGAGACGGTGGTCTATGCCTATAGCCTTTGGCCTATAGCTATTTGGCTGTGCATTAAAATAGGGAAGCCTCCCAACAACCCTCCTGGAAGAAGGGAAATAGACCACAGCCCGTTGGGCCAGGGAGTCTTCCTATTGAAATACACATATATGTTTAAAAAAATGATTAGTGGGCCGGCGAATTCCCCTAAAGTCGCATCTGGAGTAAAGCTCGACCTTGAACCCATGCGACTGTGTCCAGTACTGAGTCCTGCTAACCTCGAAAGAGAAGTGTCCTCTCTCACCATCTCTCACCCAATGCTTTTAGAGATCGATCTATGAGCTTTTTGGCATTTGAAGAGACTGGACCCATGACCACATAAAGTTTCACTGTGGTTTGGGTCCACTTTTGAACTGCAAGCCTTGCTCAGGTGCAGGCCAAGAATTTTCTCTTCCATACGTGGCTCATACGATGCTATCACAACATCAGGCGCGTTGGCTGAAGTCTGGCCGCTGCACAGTTTGATGAAGCCTTGCCAGGGCCCCACGAAGATGGCCATCAGAGGTGAAGAATCCATTGATTATCAGGATTATCAGGATCAGATGGAAATAGTATAGGAATCAAGAGCCATCAGCTGGATCAGATAGTTTTTAACTTCCCCAAGAAGATGGCCATCATAATTCAAGATCTTTTTGGTCGGTCACCGAATGCGAATCAGAGGGCTGGTCAAAATTGGGAGGCCTGGGTTACCCAACCCAAGCGATGAATTCCAGCTTGTTCTCAGGATGATTTCTGACCAGTTTCATGGAATGATGCAGGACTTAGAAACGGCACTTGGCCAGGGCATGGAAGTGCGACGATACTCCTTTGTAGAGGACCATAACAGAAAGTCTTCTTTTGCCTTCGTTCAAGAGAGTGTACAAGATTGAAGCTATTCCAGGCCATGACTCGCAACTGGACTCCGTTTGGCGCTCCTGGGCCTCAGGCAGGAAGAAGCACAGACCTTTGGCAGAGAGGCGCGAGATCAGCCCCACTTGTGGATGTTTAGTCCAACACCTTGGATGATAGCAAATCCTTTAAGGCAACTAAAGTGATAGAACCTAAGCTCACTCAAGACCCATGAACCTCACTCAGTCAAGGTCCTCACACATCCTCACACCATGCCCACCATTGCTCATGCGCGTGCAACCGCAGGAGCTCCCCCTGCATCGCCGACGAGTGCTTCTGCGCAGCGGACCCGAGCGCTTCAGTGTCACACAGCTAGAGGCGCGAGCTGGCTCAGCCTCGAATGAAGCTGCAGATGGAATGCCCTTTAAACAAGAGAGCGGGTGTGCACTGTAAAACACCGTGTTTTTGCTTCATGTTTTGCATGTAAAACATCTTTCAGGAGCACACGTATTGTTAAACAAGGGGACCTCCAAGGCAGGCAGAACCTTGAAGCAAGTTGTGCTGTTGGAAGATGTCGGCGAAGCGAAGCGGACACTCCAATCATTGTAGCATAGCTAAAACATGCTAGACACATCCAAGACCGTATCCAAGATTCAACGCACTTGGAACTGGGAGACCCACGCAAGCCACTGGTGAAAAGTGGACAAATCAGGCCAAGATAGGGGGACCCCCTAGCAAACACGTGCTGATCGTCGCGATGCTTGTGGACCAGATAGTTGTCACTATACACATCCAGGGTGGTTTTCCGCAGGTTTCAGCCATTTTGGAAGTTATGGACCAACGACGTGTACCACGTACGATGTCTGGGAGCGATCAACTGTCAGCTGGTTCCATGGGTTCCATGACTGCCTGGCTGGCATAGCGCCTGAAAAAAAGGAGTTCGTTCTTTTTGGGGGCTGGCCGAGGTTGATGTTTTTCTTCCACAAACCAAGGAGTTCATCTTTTGTGTTGGAAAAAACACCCCATCAACCAAATGGGTGTGTGTTTTGTTCATGTTTGAGTTCGTGTCTTTTTCGATCCCACAAGCCCACCCGATGTCGGACGAAGCCGGGAAGCTGCCGCTGGAGGTGCTGAACGAGCTCCTGCGCGAAGACGGAGCCCTGGGGCACGAGGCGATCGGTGCGCGTCGCATGCGGAGCACACGAGGTTTCCTCGACCAAGAGGGTGGTGTTCAAACTGTTCACTTCCATTTGAGGGAGTTCGGAGTGGGACCATTATGCTAATCTTTAAAGTATGATGATACAATCATTTGAGAACAATAATTACCCAGGGCAGTTGTCAACATGTTGAGTCTTGTCATCTACGAGAATGGTTAGAACACATGCTAACTGATATCCTTTTGGATGTTTGTATGCTTCTCCTATTTAGTTTGAGAGCTTGATTGACCCAAAGCCTTCCTCCGGCCACCCTAAAAAGCGCAGGTGGAGATCCTGGGAAGCAAGCTGCAGCTTGGCAGTGATGCGTCAAGACATGGGCATGTCTTCCTTCCAAATGTATCCTCTACAGAAGTGCTTTGCCGCAGGTTTTATGATGGAAAGAAACATGGAGCCATCTCGTCGTGGTGCTCGTCTCCGTGTGTGGAGGATCCATCAGGTCATCAGGTCAGGTAAGAGGAGAGGAGAGGAGTGCTTTTTCAATCAATCGGATCCTCAGATTCAGTCACAAAGGGTTCTCTATTTGGCTGCTGTTGTTGTTGTTGTTGTTGCTTGATGTTTGGAGTCTTGGAATCAGTGCTGACTTTTATTAGTATGTGTGCATTGGATCCGCTGACAGATGTTCTGGACCAAGTTTCTGGCGGGGAGACCCGCCTACGTCGATCAAGGTCTGAATGGAAGGGACAGATGTGGTTGGCCTTGGCGGCCACTGCCCTTTGTGTAGGTGCGCGTGAGTTCAGCAAGCGCCCATTTTGCGAAGAGCGTCGCACCACCCGCCGCGATGCGAAGGTCGTCATTTCATGTCATGCGAACGTGTGTCGAACAATGGCCACAATGGACTGACCCGTTTGCTCATGAACTCACGTTTGGATGCCTTTGCCTCGATGACCATCGAAAAGAATCTCGCTCCCAAAAGCTCTTTACATCTCGAGCCCTCTTTGTTTCCAAGGTTTGTTTGTAAAGGCTTGGTGGTCAGGTTCCTTTTTTTCAAAGCCGCACTGGGAAGATGGTTTTTGTTTTTTGTTTCCGGTTCCTCAAGCAAATTGTAACTGGAGCCCCGCTCAAGGGCCTTTCATCGTATCATCTGCACTCGGTGCCTCCGGTTCGGCACTTGGCTGTTTCCGACACGACGCAGGTCTGATGTCCTTCCTAAGCTGGCGTTTGCTGGGACGTGAAGGTGCCTCCGCTGTGAGCACTGCTGAGCAGTTGCTGAGCAGTTGCTGAGTTGCTGGAGCATGGTATTTGTGTTGCCCACTTTGCTAAGAGTTGCAGAATCAGCCGCCGATCCGGGGCTCAAAAGGACCATCTGGGGTCCAACATCAAAGCATCAAAGCACTGGACCCCAAAGGCTGGTGATCGTGGTCAGTTTGTGGTAAGGCTGGTGACCAATGCATTGGTCTAGAAACATCTTTACTCCGAGAGGACCTTTGGATGTGATCAAAAGAGATGTTGCATAGAAGTTAAAACAGGGATACCCTCTCCTGAGCGATGTGTGTGTGTGTTTTTTCCGCCAACTACACGTGGTCTTGCTTCCACTATCACACAACTTCCAGCTCGACGATATTTTGTGATATTTTTGTGACCAACGTTTGGATGGTTCAATTGTGTTGACCAGGCATCAAGTCTCTGTGAAGTCCAGATTGTAGGTCAATTGAAAGCTACTATGCCACTATGACAATTTCAGGGTGCTCCAGTGTGGGAGCCTGCGCAGTTCGGTATCAGTCTCCCACCTGAGTTACTGTAGATACCCTGCGGCGGCGAGCTGCATGTGTTTTCGTGTCTCGTCCAACTCTGGCAGGAATCAATGCGAAGCAGTGCTGGACTCGGTGTTTGGGCGCGTGCAAACAACGAACATGTGTGATGTATGGACTGTGTTAGCCTGCTTGGAGTGCAGAGGGAGGCATATGGTGGCACCCACAAGTAGTGTTGGAAGAAGCCTTTTGGACACATCCCAGTTCATGGTTGATACGAGTTGACGTGATCAAGCTCCAAGAGCTTTTGTTGAAGGTGATTTCTGGGAATAGGGAAACTCGGTCTGATCAGGTGTTGAATACGAAACCTTACATTGAACACCTGATTGAAGTTCACTGCTTTGCCAAGGCGACATCGTGAGCGAAGGAAAGACAAAGGAAAAGATAAAAAGAGTGCTCGCTCAGCATTTCCCGAGCAACGAAAATAATTTCTGCAGGGCCACAATACCACAAGAACTAGTCGAGTCCACATTGATATGTTCAGCATGAGCCCTGAACGGATGAAAGCCCTTCTCCGCCGGCTCTTACCGGTGGTTGTGAGGCTCCTACTAGGGATTCGCTGCCGAAAATCGAGAGTTCAGACGACCGGAGAAGGCCTCTTTGGTTGAGCATCTTCGGAGGGTAGTATTTGTTGGGTGTGTCCTTACTAACGTGTAACGGTCAGCAAAGAAGTATCACGATTTTTGAACAAGGCCTGCAACTGAACCCTCATCATCCACTGAAACATCGTGAAACCATAGGACCCAAAGTATATGGTAGATCACGGTATTAAGTTTCTGCGGGGCCGGGGGCTAAAGCTGGAAGACGCCCCGCTTCCCCGTCTCAGACCGCTCAGCGCAGGGATCGTGCAAGTTGGTGCCTCACAGACCGGTCTCCCAAGTCATGCTGGGTAAGCATCCCCAGACTATATGCGATGTCCGGATCAAGCCCCTGCGACTGTCCTTGTTCTCCCCTGCGCAGTGTGAGAACATCCTGCTGAAGCACACCGGCATCGCGGTCGAAGACAACGTGCGGCGGCCCAGACCGACGGTCTCGGACGGTCTCGGACGGCTGTCTCGGTGGTCTCGGTGGTCTGACCAGTTGAGATGAAAAGAGCTGACGCGACAAACATATGAATCATCACGTTCCTGCAATCCATGGAGGTAGTCGGGGTGCCAGAACATCCACTCACGTAAGGGGACGTTTCACACCACCCCGACATGTGACTCCTGGTATGTATATAAATAATATACAATAGTAAATATATTATATCACTACACCATTTCCAGCCATGCAGTTTCCGGGAGAGATCAAACCCCCTTGGGTCGTCCTTTGCCCAAACCAAGGGTCTGTGGGTAGCGCGACCTACTTCAGCAACTTTGTGAGGGGTGAGCTAGCATTTGGTGTTGAAAGTTTACGATCAAGCAACTGAAAGGAAATGGTGGGTCCAAAACTCCTATAGAGGCAGCAACTGGGAGTAATTGACAGTCCAAAACTGCAACAAACTCACCTAACTCACCCAGCTATTTGGCTTACCGGCTGGTCCTCACGTCCTAACACAACCCGTACTTTCCCGTACGTGGCAAAAACCGGAAGTAACCGCTCCACCCGCGCCGGTCACCGCTCCACCGCGTCGCCAGATCTTCAAGCTTTGCGACTTTGGTTTTGCAGCTCACGACTCAGGCGGGGTCTCGGTGTTCCGCCGGTGAAGACGGGGAGGTGTCATGGCAGGTTGGGTGAAAGTAGTGGCCAACGAAGAATCAGATAAACTTAGTTGATGTATATGCCAATCATATGCCGAAGTAGGCAGCACTATTATTATATAGAACACCAAAATTCCTGTGAAAAGCCCACACCCATATCCATGTGCCCATGTCGAACAAGCATGAGACCCATGAGAGCTGTACAGCAAGGAGGAATTACATAAAGCCTGCGAGCTTCTCGCTTGGTCAACCCTCACCATTGAAACCCTTTGTTAGCTGGGCATGCAGACTGCAGCAGCACTGCCTTTTGCAACAGAAAATCTAGTTATATACCCAGACCATCCATGACACTGGCCTATCTACCTACCTTGGGGTGGTTGACCTGGGGTCAATGTAGCCATATTCCATATATCCATGGTCTACGTTCCCCTCCGATCGCCCAAACCGGCTGGGCCGGCTTCAGGGTCGGGACAGATCCGCTTCTATGTTGTTGGTCGGAGTCCAGCGGCGAAGGATGCATCATCATGCGGCTACAAATGATTTTTTAGGGCTCCAGTCGTACCTTCTAAGAAGGTGTTTGGGGTTGGGTTTAGGGGGTCCAAATGCCATCTGAGGAGGTACGACTGGAGCCCTGGGGATTCGAAGGTTCAAACTCTCCAAGAAGTGGTCCGCTTCTGAAGACTCGTGCAAGCCACAAAGAAAGCCACAGGATAGACCATCCACCCCAGGATTTGGATTTGTTCGGGTTTCGGCAGTTCAGGATTTGGACCGAATTATTGGAACCGAACTTATCCATTTTTCAAGTTGCCAAAACTTCTGAAACTTGCATCATGTTGTTCTATATATTATTATATAGAACTATATATAATATTATATATATATATATAATCAGGCTTGAACCCATTCGCCCTTCTTGGAACCTTTGCTCCCCGCCACAAAGGAGACGGACTGAGCGACCGTTTGGGTTCGCCTGACACGGTGGCCCCTGAGATCGTGGCACGGGGCCTGAGAGGGCCTGGGGCGTATTGAGTCAATGAGTGGATGGGATGGCAAGGGAAGAGAGTCCAAGTCAAGGATTTGTTGGCTCACGGCATCTCATGAAGGTTCAAGGATGGTGGTTTGTCGCCGCCCCCATGCTGGAGCACTGTAGGAAAGCTGAAGAGCCTCCGTGGGATCGTGAGATATGGAACGTCGCGCAGCGCTATGTATGTTTCAAGTGCTAGGTTGTTCCCCCATCCCAGGGCCAGTTCATGTTGTATATGTTTTCCCTGTGGAAGAGCGATCTACTCTGGATCAGCCATCATCCATCACTGGACCCATTTGCGGAGATTTCCCTGGACTCTTCCACTTGCTCTACTCGAGGGGGTCATTGCTCTTCAAACTTGCCTAAGCCATCTCGCCGAGGTTGGCACGAAGTATAGCACGCCGGTGGACATGTGGTCAGCAGGCACTCCAGCGTGTTCAGTGGCCCATCTCCGTCTCTGCAGATGAAGATCCAGATCCTCTGGAGTCCTGTAGAGTGGATTACTGTAAGACCGTGTTCCTTTTGGGAGGGGCCAGGCATTCAATCAACTGAGCAGATGTGCTCGAAGAACTGTCCAGTCTGTCCTTGGACTCGAAGGAAAGAAGACCAGTGATTGCACCGGTCGTGTCGTAGAAGCCCGCAGACCTTTAAGGTCAAGTCGAGTAGAACCCCAGGCATGGGTTGGGGCTCCAGACTCCAGGAAAACTTCCTCAAGAAATCACCCGTGAACACGATGAAAGGGGACACATGCAGAGCTTTGTCGGAGTTCGCCCAATGCATGAGCAATCCGCCTTATGGGTCAGACTTGGCTTCATAAGGAGGAGTGCCATGGTCTCTTGAGAAGATGAACATCATAGCCACAGTCAATAGATTGGCACTGAACAATCATGAATAATATATAGTAAGATATTGAGTTCACAGAAGATTGCACAGTTTTGTAGATTGAAGAGCTCAGGTTTTGCTCAACTCCAGTGGTCTACAGACAGCCGGGTGCCATCTCAAGTTGTAGTTTGGGTGATGTTCCAATCCGGGCATTCCTTCGGCAAAGGCAAACATCCCCCAAAAAAGAAGCAGACTACAGTGACTACAGTAGTAGCATCCCTGGCATGTTCATACTTTGTCCAAGGTTTGAATCTTTCTGTTGCACCCTGGATTTTCATCGTGCCAGGTGTCCTGGTCTACATGATGCTCTCCGCAACACCCCCGTTCTATGCGCCTACAGATAACGAGGCGGTCGTCGAAGACCACCTCGCCGGTCTCGACCGCCGGTCTCTCGGAAGATCCGGATGGTTCGAGGCACCCAGGTTTGCTTCGGCTGTGTGTTGTTTGGTTCGGCCGATGATCACGACTCATGCCCGTGGTTCGATGGGTGGTGTTTTTGTTGTTGTTTGGTTGATGTGCCCCAGGTGTCGCAAAAAACGGCACTGGGACCTTGGAGTTCTGGGCAACATGGGTGTCAGTGAGTTTAACCCACCATTCCTCCTCATGAGAGTCATGGTCCAAATGACTGAAAGGATCGCTGGTGTCACTCAGTATTGCCTTTCTTTTGCCCAGTCACTACTAGTACCCCAGCGATTCCGGACGATTCCCACACCCACGCTTCGCCGCTTTCGCAAACGCGAGACACGAACGCTCCGCTCCGAACGGGGCTCCGAAGCGGCAGTCGGACCAGTCGGACAGCGTGCAGGTGCTGCGGAAGGTGAAGACTGGGAGCTATAATTTGTCTGGGGAGCCATGGGATTCACTCCCTAAGCCACCCAAGGAGCGTGTTTCCGTTCGCGGACCGTGGCGTGACGGTGTTTCTTCAAGTGAAGTTCGCGGCTGGTTGGGAGGGTGCGCTGTGAAAAACGGGGTAGTGATGTGCTGTAAACACTGGTGCGTGGTCCATGCGTTGTCCATCCACGCCGATGGGTCTTGGGAACTGGAGTAATCCCTTCGTTGAAGAATTTTTCAAGCACGATACAAAGATCAACGAATCGCCCCTCAAGATTCTTGGCTGAATTCCGATTTACATATGGCTTTGCCAAAAATGGTCTTTAGCATTTGAGCCAGGAGTTTTGTTTCAAGTCGGACAACGCAAGATGGAGAGCACGCTGCGAAGCGTTGCAATCCACCGGGTCGACGCGGCTGCTGCAGCGACGTGCGTCCTTCATCGCAGGATCTCATCGCCTCTCTCATGACCGTGGATCCCAAGAAAAGGCCCTCAGCCGATGAGGCGCGCATCGCGCTCCTCTCGCTCTTGTTGGGCGTCGTGTCGGGCGGTTTCTTTGTGGTTTGGATCAGGCTAAGGTGGCTAAGATTAAGACCTCGTGATCCCAGCCACAGAGAAATGACATGAAGTTCATTGAGAAAGAAACAAAAAACCGTTCACCGCGGGTCCTTGGTCCACCAGCTTGTTCAAGCTTGGTCCACCAGGCGCAGGTTGGTTAAACCTGATGTGGTTTGAGGAGCGGCCTGTAGTAGGAGCGATCTATCGATGGACACCCAATGAAGTTCAACCAAATGTTTGGACCCACAACAAACCCCCACCAGGATGATGTAAAAATTGTAAACCCATATACACCCTGACATAGACGCCTCATAAACCGTGCGAGGGGGTGATTGCCCGAGGTCGTGTGCGAGGTTTTTGATCAGGAACTGAATGCAGATGCTGGTTGAGAGCCTTTGACCAAGTATGTTCAGAATTTGACTTCCAGAGGACATGATAACGCTTGCCCCTCAA